ATATAATGTAAATCTTACTTTCCTAGTCTAATGTTACATAAGGTTGTAACACCTTTCCCTGTACCACATCAGTGGTAATTATTTTATGTAAATATATTTTGTAATCTTGGGGATTTTTTTTTCTGCTGGAGGCCTGTGATTAACCCTTTTAAACTCATAAAATAAGAAACACAATATGTGAAAAGAATTAGCTGCCAGCAGCAAATAATGCTATATTATAACACTAACAAGGCAATATTATATTGTTAATTAAACAGTAGCACATAAATAAATTTAGACACCAACTGCATCTAGTTTTCCGTCAAGCCATGTAGAACTAGTTGGAGACACAAAATAGTTTTCATCTTGTTCAGCTTCATGACTCATCTTTCCCTGCAGGAAGAATTTTATGACAGCTTATATTATGTGTCCCAAGGAACAGAACATCTCCCCAGTAAAACTGCTTAACCAGGTACAATATTGTGCATAAATATTATTTAAACATTAGAAAACAAGGTGTTTCTATACTTCTCCTGTATGAAATGAGGAACATCTGTGGATCCCAGTCAGTCATTCTGGAGAGGACAGTGTTTTCTGAGGATACAACTGACTCAAAAGAATCAGCAACTGACTGAGCATACTGGGTGGCTGCATTTGCTTTGCCAGCCCCAGAAAGCCTTAACCTGTTCAATTTAAATGCATGTAAAAACAAAGATGCTTCAGGTCCAGCTTCAAGGGCATTTTGAAACTACCAGAGAGAGAAAATATTGCTATAGATCAAAGCATAGTAATATTTGTCCATTTGATGTTTTTTGAGAGCCCTGAGCTCACCTGAGCCTGCTGCAGACGAGTGAGCCATCCCTCAGGCCCGCGGTGATGAGGGTCTGATTGTCTGGGGTGAAACAAACAGATCCGACTCCACCCTGCCAACTTGAGTGGCACTGCAGCTGTACATACCTGTCCTGCATGTCAAAAGTACGTACATTTACATCACATCACATATTTGGGCAGTTTCCGAGAAACATGCTTTTGCTAGCCCAGTACTCATAAACATGGATGAACTTGTAGAGATTGGTTTTAACAAACAATACCATTGTTGAGATCTCACAGATGCGCAGCAGTCCATCCCCACCAACTGTAGCCAGCCAGGTTTGATGTGGGGAGAGCTGCAGAAAAGCTAGTATCAAGTGAACTGCTTTCTGTGCATTAGAGGGCTTTTCTCCACTCTGTATATCACATGAGAAGCTGTTAGGAGCAGTGCCAAAAACACAAAATAAAACTGTCATCAGACTATAGGTGTTGTCTGTTGTTACAGCACCTCGGGGATACTGAATCTTTGCAAGACTTTTCTCTGTTGGAAGTAACCAAATATCTTGTTTATGCCCAGGACACAAGAGCAGAGAGCATGAGGGATCTCATATAGGCAGCTGTGCAGGACGACTTTACACAGACGGCCATAGACATCCACACAATCTTTTGAGTCTGGAAGTGGCACAACATTATGAGAAGGAGTGCTGGAATTTTTGAATGTTTATCATTTGTCCCCCTATTTTTTTTTAGAGAAGATTTCTGCATGCCAGCCTCAATTATGGTGTGTTTTTGTGTTTTCCTGATACCTGTAAGCTGCTGCACAAACAACGTCATTAGCAGAAGCACATTTCCCTCATTGATTTCTCTCTCTGTCTTGCTGCATAGCACCACCACTTCTCAACCTGTTTACTTTCCTTGTGGTACAGAGTAGAAAGGCTTACAATGGTACCTGGAGCCTCTGAAAAAAAATGTAAAAAGACTTGTTAGAAATTACTTCAAACTTTAGGCAAAAAAAGTATATAATACAGTTCAAAATTTTGGGGTTGGTAAGATTTTTTAATGTTTTTGAAAGAACCTTCTTGCTCATCAAGGTTGCATTTATTTGATAAAAAAATCAGTAAAAAGAAATGTTATTACAATCAAGAAACTTTTTATTATTATCAATGTTGAAAACATTTGTGCTTTTTGTGAAATCCATGATACATTTTTTCAGGATTCTTTAATAAACAGAAAATTCAATAGAACAACATTTAATTAAAATAGAAATATTTAGTAATTTTATATTTCTTTACTGTCACTTTTGATCAATTTAAAGCAATCCTTGCTGAATATAAGTATACATTCCTTTAAAAAAGAAAATCTTACTGACCCCAAATAGAGAGAATTGAACAGTAGAGTGTCATCCTAAAAATTACCATTCCATCCAATAATTTCAAATCCTTCTGATGGTCTTGCGCTAAGCACAAACATGCGTGAGTCTGATGCTCCTGTGAATAAGAAGTTGCCACCTTGATCAAACCTGTTGAACAAATATAATATACAGTATGCTCAACATTCAATACACAAGAAATATGAGAGCAAATGATCATGGTGCTGTGAAACTCACACCAAATGGTCTACAGGGACATGGTAGAGATGAACTCTGTGAACTAGTCTGGGCTTTTGTTTTGTGGTCATCTCCACAAACAGGACGTCTCCAGTGGCTGTCCATCCAACAACATACAGTGCTATGGGGCAGCATGCCATACTGGTCACCTGAAGTAAAGTTATACCAAATAACACAGATTTATGTACAGCAGACTTATTCACCTGATTTGGGAAAAATAATTGGTGTGTGTCGTATAGAACCTCCAGTTATAGCACTAACGTGTCTGCAGAAAGATGGAGCCCATGCAAAGTCCATCATCCAGAGCCCACAGCTGTATGTCTCCTGTTTCTCTGACTGACTGCAACAGTGAAGATACAGATGCCTTATTAGCTTCAATATCTACTTTGTATTTTAATATTTATATTGTAATACGAATATAATATGTATCAGTATATTTATTGTGATTAATTAACCAATTGACACCACATGTTCTTTTACCAAACAAACTTCTGTCAGTGTATAATGGAGCAACAGCCACAAAATCTCCACAGAGTACATCCAGAACTTTGACAACTTTACCATTCAGCAGTGGTTTGAATTTGTAAACACAGCCCTATGAAGCAAAACCAGAATTTATTAATTATGTTTCTCAGCATTGTCTTTATTGTATTGAATTGCATTCTGGCATAAATATAAGAATATGAGTTTTTAACATGACATTTTTGATCAAATATTATATTCATATAGTGTATATTATAATAAAACGTTTTACATTAATATTATTTTAATATTAATAATTAAAAAATACACTAACATTATCATAATATATAAACACTTACTGTATTAGAAACTATCAGCAGTGTCTCACCGTCAGGGGAACAGCATATATTCGAGGCTGCATCATCCAAAGCCCAAGTCTGCACCACCTCCAATTTGTTTCCTTTAATTTGTATGTTTCGTAAAATGCCTTCCTGTAATTGATTTGGAAATGCTCTTGAATCAGGCTGAAATTATGTCTCACTTGAAAAGAGATTAATGTCTACACATTTACACATTTCAGGCCTCATATTAGGGTGATGATAAATAAAATGTCTTACCATTCCTGCAGCAAAAAAAGTACAGTCTTGCAGTACTAAGCTCTGTAAGCTGCCTTCCTGCAGGGATGTTTCACTGTCATCTGTTATGTAAAATTACAACAAAGCTCTCAAGAAGACAAGGAACTAAATCAAGTCTAGATTTCAAACTAGTTAAAAAAACATTTACATGTGAAATCCTGAAATGTTCTCATTTGATATGTATCAAGTATGAGTTTACCTGTGGGGGTTAATTCAGTTTGAGGTTTATATAAGACAGAGACAAGCAAAGTGTCAGGATTCACACAAAGCAGGAAACCTTCCTTGGAACCAGCATATAGATCAGAAGAATTTGATCAGCAGATGGCACTTGGACACAGTTTTGGTTTTATTTGTTTCAAAGGCTGCTGGGAAAGACACATACTATTATGCTGTGACTTTGACAAAAATAAAGTGCTACTTAAACCTTCTGATTATTACTATTATAGATAGGCTATATGGTACATTATGTGAGCGAGCTAAGCAACTGTCGGCGCTGCTGTCGCCACAGTCTGACATAAGCGAGGATCTGCACGCTGCTGAAATTATTGAAATACACTGTTTTAAATGTATTTCAATATCCTAGCTTGTTATTCAAGGAAATAATTTTTTTTTTTTTTTAAAGACTGACCTTGCAGTTCACACATCAGCTCAAACTCTGGATAATTGTAGACAAAGATGGAAGGGTTCAATTTGAAGTCAGCGAAAGCAAGACGCCTGCGATGCCCACTGGCTGTAAAGGCCCCAATTCCAGAACCAGGACTCTGCAGTGTTCCTCATCTAGTTTCCACATTGAGGAAAACAATGAAATTCCCGCATGTGTAGCATGTTGTTTTCTTGTCGACGAATCTAAATGTGCCATTGTTGAATCCTTGCACCCACATTATACATAGTAATAAAAATAAAAGTAACATTATTTACCATTTATTTTGCATGCACTCTCATCGTTGCATTGAATACATTATTTGTTCTTTATATATATATAGTTTGTTTTTTAAGTTGATTTTTTTTTTGTAAATTTTGAGATTAGTACGTTGAAAATGCGTTTTAGTTTACTTTATCTGACCACACTCGCCGTATTTCCAGTGTGTGCTGTATACACGAGTGTGTTTTCTGTTCAATGCTAGGTAACGTTAGCTAGCTATAATACTGATGAAGTTTAAAGACTGACCTTGCAGTTCACACATCAGCTCAAACTCTGGATAATTGTAGACAAAGATGGAAGGGTTCAATTTGAAGTCAGCGAAAGCAAGACGCCTGCGATGCCCACTGGCTGTAAAGGCCCCAATTCCAGAACCAGGACTCTGCAGTGTTCCTCATCTAGTTTCCACATTGAGGAAAACAATGAAATTCCCGCATGTGTAGCATGTTGTTTTCTTGTCGACGAATCTAAATGTGCCATTGTTGAATCCTTGCACCCACATTATACATAGTAATAAAAATAAAAGTAACATTATTTACCATTTATTTTGCATGCACTCTCATCGTTGCATTGAATACATTATTTGGAACCTTCAAACTTACAATGTTGGGCACGGCGTCGTGAGTAATAAAGTAATGTCCTGCAAAAGCGAAAGGACATCATTGTCCATTAACTAATCGAATGATCGGTAAATGCCTTTCGTATATGTCGTTTAACTTGACAGAAGGTCGTTTTGCCACAAGATTTGCTTGCATTTCAAATAATTAGCTTAGTTAGCCAGCCGCGGGCGTTGGTTAGCTTGAATTTAGTCTTGTGTAGGTGCTGTGATGGCTTCTGCAATATCTAGATCTCGTGAATGACTGTAACGGTTGTTTTAGCATGTGTACCGACAGATTACGCTTATTCATTACGGTTTGTGACATGTACAGTAGTACGTGCGAGTCAGCACTTCATTTGAGGAAGTAGCTAGCTAGCCTACATAGCCAGGACAGGGAATGGAGCGGCTGTGTTATAAAAAGCCACTGAGTTCCCTATATAGACAGCATGTCTAGATGTGCGCATTCGAACAAAAAACTGCGCTTGAAACCGAACCAGACTGCAATTCCTGGTCACTGACAGCCTTATGATTAACATTTGTTTCCCTAAAATAGATAAAGGGGGTCATGCAGCTCTTAATAATACATGTACGATGTGACCATAAGAATGTGTTTGTATATATTTGTATTGTTCATTTGCATTTGGAAACATTACTTCCGTGTGTGGTGGGCTGTGGGTGGGTCTACTGGACTTTGAAAACCTGTTATCTCGGTTTGCTGTGTAGCTCTTCAGAGATTATTTAAAGTATGTGTAAAGAGAATTCTGAAAATTGTTTCTAAACACATTATAAATGTTAGAAATGTATTGCACAAACACATTACAAAGACTCTGAAGTGTGTAGTACTGAATTGTGGAGTTAAACCGTTAAACAGTTTTTCACCAATTCTTCTGTATTCAGGATTTATTTTGGGCGGGGCTAAAACGGTGGCTCGATGACGCAATGGAGCCACCGAGCATGGCCCCGCCCCTAACACTATAATATATAGCCTACTGCGTATTAGCGTCAGAAGGAAAAAAAAGACCATTCTGTTGTAGACCGAGTGGGATGAGGTTGATTCTCGGGTAGCCGGTCAGTGTCCTCTGAATTGGATTCTGGCTCTGGAGGCTCAAACATGTATGGATGTATAAATCCAATTAAGCTACTAGAGGTAGCATGAGTAGCTTCCATTCAGGTTGGAGCGGTATTTGACAGTTGAGAGAGACGGCCGCTTTCCCGCGAGTGGGCGTGGTTTCAGCGCCGACAGCGGACACGCCCCCAGCGTTTGAGAGCAGAGTCCTGCTTATTTTTCCAAGATTTTGATAACTTATGTTATTTACTTGGCGGTTTTTTTTATCATTCAAATTTGGCTGGGTGGTTAATAACACATTTTTCTGTTGTGTGACAAACTCAGAACACATTTTAATATCGCTTTACACGGACTTTAAATTGTGTGTGGGATCTGTTGAGGGAGGTTATGCTGCACACTGTGCACAGGCTGATCTGCTTACATGTTTGCACTCAGGGCCCTTGCTTTTGTTATAAGCTGATCTTTTGTCTCCCAAACTGACTGTTTATCCTAAGGATCAGCTCAGCTTTCCCTTTTGCAAACTTGTCTCTCGGCAGGTGAGTGCTGGCTGAAGGATAATGGCACATGTTGGGGCAGTAGTTGCAGCGATGGCCGGTGTGATGGCCATTCTGCTTCATTCTTCCATTCACAAGATTGAGGAAGGACATTTAGCTGTGTATTACAGGTGAGTATAAGGAAGTTGCATTAAAAATATGCACAGGTTTTATGCTGCTTTTGTTAATGATTCCTAAAATACCTGTAATTTAGTTGTAGGTTGAAGGCTAGATCAGTTAAAATTGTGTTTAACACAATGTTTGAAAATTGTCATTTGGCCAAGCCTGTATAACTTTTGTCATCTGTGGAACATTAAAGAATGTATTTTGAGAAAAATATTAAAGATAAAAAATGTTTCCATATAATGGATGTCATTGGTCACCTATTGATCTGTTTAACAGCATTCTTTAAAAATTTGCCTTTGTGTTCTATAGAAGAATGTAGGTCATACAGGTTTGAAATGACATGAGGTAGAGTAAATGGTAGCAGAATTTTCATTTTTGGTTCAACTGTCTCTTTAGGTAACTTTACAGCTTCTTTATAGTAATAGAAGTTGTAATATTATTTCTACACAAATTAAATTTATGCCATTTTTATCATTCCCATAATTAATTTGCTTCCTAATCCGGGTTCATGTTTTTTCCCATTTTTTTTTTTTAGAGGTGGAGCGTTGTTGACAACTCCTAATGGCCCAGGTTACCATATAATGCTGCCTTTCATCACCTCATATAGATCAGTGCAGGTACAAATGTCATGTATTTACAGTTGGCCCAATACAAAAATTAATTATTGTTTTATTACAGCTGTATATATTATATATCATTTATTATGATCTTTTTCTATGACTTTTGAAACATGAGTGGATTTTTGAGGTTGTTGAATATTTTGCATTTACATTTATGCATTTAGCAGAAGTTTTTATTAGAAAGCTAGAGAAACCAAGCTAGAATTTTGTTGAAGATGCTGATTTGTTTTTTTCCTCACGTTTGCATCATGTTTATAGACAACTCTGCAAACAGATGAAATAAAAAATGTGCCTTGTGGAACCAGGTAATCCTTCGTGTTGTTGTTATTCCATCAATATGTCCTGAAAAACTACTTAAAAATTGATAATTTTTGGTCATCATTAAATTGTACTGGATATTTTCTGGGATTCCTGAATGAAAGTAATCATTTCTTTGTCTTCCACAGTGGGGGTGTCATGATCTATTTTGACAGAATTGAAGTGGTCAACATGCTGGTTCCATCAGCAGGTAAGAGCCTTAAAGGGATAGTTCACCCAAAAATAAAGGTTCTGTCTTCATTTAGTCACCCTCAATCCTTTTTCAAACATGTATGACTGACCTTCTTCCATGGAAGTCAAAATGAGATGTTAGACTGGATGATAAAATGAGGTCATGCTCTTGTTCTCCTCCACAGTGTTGGACATAGTGAAGAACTACACTGCAGATTATGACAAGACGGTAATCTTTAACAAAATTCACCACGAGTTAAACCAGTTCTGCAGTGTGCACACCCTGCAGGAAGTCTACATAGAACTATTCGGTAAGTCACTGATATGTCAAACAGTTTATTTGGCCAAGTATACTGTGAATTTTCAGTTGTTGATGTGAGTGCTGCAGTTTCTGCTGTGTCATTCGTTTCGTCTTTGGTGCCTTCTCACAGCAAAAACGTTTGTCATGGACTTGCATTTGTGTCATTTTTGTTTGACAGATATAATTGATGAGAACTTAAAGACTGAGCTGCAGAAGGACTTGAATGTTATGGCTCCTGGTCTCACAATTCAGGTATGTTTTTATCTCTATGGTTTTGTCTCTGTAGTTTCAGTTTTGACTTGAGCAGAATTACATGATTATATGATATTTTGCAGGCTGTGCGAGTCACCAAACCTAAAATTCCTGAGGCAATCAGAAGAAACTATGAGCTAATGTGAGTGAATATATTATTCTGTACAATTTGATTGGATGTCTTTTAGGGTATTTCTATATTGTGTCCTCATGATGAATTAAAATGCTAGTTATTTTTTTAAAGCCTTGAGCAGTTTTTTCACTCTTGCTGATTTTTAAAAATTATGTAGTGACAATATATACTGCTGTTCAAAAGTTTGGTTAAAAGTAAGGTTTTTAAATTGTTTTTGAAAGAAGTCTTTTATTTTCACCAAGGCCGCATTTATTTGATCAAAAATACAGTAAACAGTAATGTTGTGAAATATTATTACAAGTTAAAATAATTGTTTTCTATTTTAATACATTTTAAAATGTAATTTTTTCTTGTGATGGCAAAGCTGAATTTTCAGCAGCAATTATTCCAGTTTTCAGTGTCACATGATCCTTCAGAAATCATTCGAATATGCTGATTTGCTGCTCTAGAAACATTTATTATTATTATCAATGTTGAAAATAGTTGTGCTGCTTAATATTTTTGTGGAAACCGTGATATATTTTTTTTTTTAGGATTTGCTCAAAAATAGACAGTTCAAAAGAACAGGATTTATTTGAAATAACAATCTTTTGTAACATTCTAAATTGCCCTTGGATGCATCTCTCTATAGTTTTAATCAAAATTTCCCTTGCTTTCATCATCTGCAGGGAAGCAGAGAAGACCAGGCTGCTCATCACTGCTCAGACACAGAAAGTGGTGGAGAAAGAGGCTGAAACTGAGAGAAAGAAGGCAATCATTGGTGAGTCTGAACTTCCAAATATAATGCTGATCATGTATAGAGTCATGGTTCTGTCCTCATTCATCTTATGTGTTCTCTCATTGCAGAGGCTCAGAAAGTGGCTCAGGTGGCGGAGATTCACTTCCAACAAAAAGTGATGGAGAAGGAAACTGAGAAAAAGATCTCAGAAATTGAAGGTCTGGTTTATCTACTGAGAATTTTCATAGCACGTGCCACGCAGAGTATGTTACTTATCAGACACATTTATTTGATTGTAACAGATGCTGCTTTCCTGGCAAGAGAGAGGGCAAGGGCAGATGCAGAATATTACACTGCTGCAAAATTTGCAGAAGCCAACAGGGTAAAAAAAAAAAAAAAACAACACTTTTTTAAATTTTCTGGTTTTTGTGTTGCTCAATGTAATTTTTTAACCATTTAATTTTAAGAAAATATGAAATATTGGTGTAAGGCTCAGTGCACTTTGTACATAAATACTTTTTTGCAATAACTTTTTAGAGAAATCCTTAGAGGAGCCAGTTTTTAAAGAAATTAAAAAATGTTATTTGGTGCATTTACAAAATGTTAAGCCTACAGGTTTAAAGGAATAGTTCATTTGCTGAAAATTTACCCAGGCCATGCAAGATTTAGATGGGTTTGCTTCTTCATCAGAATGGATTTGGAGAAATGTAACATTATCAGCTCACCAGCTCATCATTGCATCCTCTGCAGTAAATGGGTGCCGTCAGAATGAGAGTTCAAACAGCTGATTAAAAACATCACAATAATCCACAAGTAATCCACATGACTCCAGTCCATAAGTTAACATCTTGTGAAGTGAAAAGCTGGGTGTTTGTTATAAACAAACTCATCATTAAGACGTTTACTTCAAACTTTTACTTCTGGCTAAAATAATACTACATTTCTCCAAATCTGTTTCAATGAAAAAACTAACTCACCTACATCTTGGATGACCTGAGGGTTAAGTACATTTTAAGCAAAATTTTCACACTTTTCAGCATACCCAAAGCTATATTAAGCTACATTTACATTAAAGCTACATTTAACCTCAGCTATATTAAGAAAGCACCTGTAGGAGACAATAGCTGACTAGCTCTGAACACATGGTGGCACATTCACACATTTCTTCAGCAGAGGTGATTCCACACAGGATGTGCTCATGTCAGTTATCACACCACTGTCTCTCTCCTCCACAGCTGAAGCTGACACCAGAATATCTGGAACTGATGAAATATCAGGCCATCGCCGCAAACAGCAAGATCTACTTCGGTCAAGACATCCCAAACATGTTTGTAGACAACAGTGCCTCCCATTCGACTGCGGGCCAGGGTGAGGCAGACTCGGCGGAGCAGCTGGAGGCCTTGAGTATGAAAGAGAGTCTTAAGAAAGCGTCCAAGCCCAAAACCACAGAACGCCACTGAGGGGCCTGAGAGCTGTCCACCCCCTCTTCCTCTGCTGTTTCTCTCTCT